AATCAAAATGGCTTCTGAAATAAATTACTTATTATTCAATGCCCAACAAAATTTTGCCGTTTAATGGTGTTAATCTCTATTAATCAGGAAAGATATTATAAATATAAAAAGTTATGACTATACCAAGTGCTTTGACACCTAAATTTAAGATTTTCCAAAAAGTGGAGTTAGTCGATGTATGCACTGAGCGGCTCATATATGAAAATCAATAAGATCGGCAGCGGATACTTGGGGATGTTTCCTTGTACGACTGGAATGTGTCGCTGTAGAATTAATGTTCCAGTTACATCTGAAGTAATCGGTTTACTTAACCTGGTCTCACCTAGATGTCAGAGTTCGTTTCAAGCAACTAATTCTGAGCGGTAGATTAGGTTAAATTAATTAAATACTTTATAGTTTATGATCATATAAGTTTTGATGTTGGTAATGATTCCATTTGCCGTCACTCGGCGCAAACCGAGTTCGGCTCTCTTATACACACCTATTTAGGTTATACGGATTTATACGGATTTCTCTATCGTCTCCCCACAACTTTCCACAGATTTTCTGAAATAAAATCTGGCAGCACTGGTTCGGGAATGCGACTGAACGACCGTGCTTCACTTAGGTAGTTATTACAGGAAATGTCTGCATTGTAAGAAGAAAATAGTACAGGACTTTCGATTCATTTTTCAACAAGGATAGCGCTATACAAACCGTGACTTTGAGTTCTGTTACACCCTGTATAAGGCAAATATTTTGTGCTACTAGGGACTGATGAAGTAACCCTTACTTTTTTCTGTTATTACCCCATAAGTTGCCTTGCAATAAGGTTACGATTACCTATCACCACAATTGTCATTTTTCTGTCCATTCTTTTTTTCCGTTCATGAAGAGTTTCCCTTTTTACTACATACGTGCAAATATCCTACTTTGTACCTTCGGATTCTTTCAGACAAGGAATCCAGACGTTTACAAAGGTCCTTGGGGAAATCCTCGATGCCGAGACAGTCCCGTGACGAGCAACAAAATGAAATGTCAGTGCACAAATGGCGAATGTCTTGCTTGCGAGATGTATCTTGAGGACTTTGAGAATGTTTTTAGACACAGTTTACCCAGTAATGGAAGAATTGCCGGATTTATCGCCGAAAGCATTCAAGTAAATACTGCAGCATTGTTTATGTATGCTACGCCATATTATTTTAGGGTGAAATTAAACCGTCGAGAAACTTAATCATTGTCGGTATAAATAAATTCTTTTAAGAGAATGTGAAAGTTGCATCTGAGGGATCGATCATTCATGGAACTTTTCTGTAAACTGGGTGTACTGTTACGTCCCGTCCTTCTTGATGGTAAAAAGGCGGAAAAGATTGAAGAGATTACAGGGATATGGAGAAGAAAGGGAAGTTAAGATTCGGGATACCGTCAGATGGTCCTGGGACCAGCTCGTCTAATCTATTTGGACTAATTTTACTTGGAATACTGGTTTAGGATTGACAAGTTGAGAAGCTGCCAGTCGAACTATATGACCGACTGACGATTCGGATTTCGAGTAGGCCAATTCGATATGGGCCAAACGAATTATGAGAAACTGGACCACTAATGTGGAAAAAGAAAATAATAAGCGGTTTGAATTCCTTAATAAAGCATTTATTACGGATAGAATAAAACAATAACGATATAATAGATAATGGTTTAGAAGAAAAATATTAGTGTTGGATTCCTGGATTCAATATAATCCACCAATAGAAGAGACTGATCTCTTTAAATCGACACTTGGCTGCGAACGTATTTGCAAGGACTCGTCTGAACTGAACTGGAACTGAAACTGAACTGAATTCGCGCTCTTGAGACATGAGCCCTTTTAAAGGTGTTCGTCTTTCCTTTCAGTGACCTAATCGATGGAGTGAGATTTCAAGACGTCTAAACATCGATATCTTTAGTTTGATAATCGATTGGTTTGTCATGCTGTCTAAATTGATATCAGTACGCCGTCTTCCGATTTACCTTTACAGTTTATAAGATCTTAGCCTAAATACGCGAGACGCTCGTGATTCAGCTCCAACGAGTGACAATAAAACTCATTAGTACTTAAAGCTAGAGATAATTTATCGGGTGGGTTACGTGGGACGTAACAGTACCGAGTCGTTTCAAACTTTACAATATGAATATGAAGGCTTTAAGGAAGGTCCTGGCGCCCATGAAATTTATTGTTTATAACAAATTTGTTAACCCTTTGCACTCGAGGCCTTTCTTGCCCGGACGAATCAGCAACTCGAGACAATTTTCCGCATACTTGGTGAATTCCATCCAGCTAACTTAAAATGATTTCACGTACAAATTAACGTATAAAACTATTATATTTTTATATTTTATGCATCCTTACATGTGGAAGAAGAAAATTTGTTAAATATTATATGAAGGACTGTATTGTTGCTTTGTATGGTATTTTATAAAACAATCGCCAAGATGCACCCTCGGTTGTTACAACCCTTAAAATTCGTTTTTCGAAAAAAACCAAAATATGCTTTTTTTGTATTGTTCCGGTCTATAAATTAACCAAGTTTCAATTGGATAGAGCAATTACTGTTCGTGTAAGAGGTAAAAGAAGTATTCAAAGGGGTGGCTCACCCCTTAAAAATGAATTTTTTCTAAAAATTCCAAATGCATGTTTCATAATTCTTCATTCCCTACATTTTGACGATTGTTTCATGAAAATTGGTAGAGTGCTTCTATATGAAACAGCCAACTCACCCCCTTGCACGGCCAACTTTGAAGTCTGATTTCACCCCCTTAAAGTGTTTATCAGCCGATAAAAAAAAATCACAGGTCTCTTAGATTTTAGTCCTCTATAACATATTTAAAAATGAACAAAATCGGAGGGGGACACCTCAGGTACCTTCCTTGTCAGTCATCATTTGGCTTGATACGGAAACCCAATCGGCAACAATGGATATATATGTTTATATTATTTGACGAAGGGTAGAATGATACCCCTTGCCATTTAACCGGGACGATCCTAACAAATAGGAAGGAGTTGCCACGTCTAATAAAAAAAAAAAAAAAGAAATTCCACAAGAAATACACGGGAGCATCCCGCAGAGGTAATACTTTAGTTCTAGCATGGAAAGATAAAAGGATAGTCACATCTTTGACCATTTGGAATAATGCGGGAATAGCTCCCGTGAAAAGGGTTTTACGAAAGTCCTTGAAATCGTGGCTTAAGCTAGTTTTAGGGGGTTTAGATATTTGTTCAGTTAATTCTTATATTCTTTACAAATAAAAAAAAAGCAGAGAAACGAACAGTCGCTTAGTCATCTACAGGATGGAAAAAACTTTGGTCGACCAATTGAGAGATTTCCGCCATACTCGTGATCGAGCTTCTACTTCGACTTCTAGCTCCGACGAAATTCGATCGAATGAAAAGCTGCATGCCATTCTAACAGAAGTTAAGAAGGATTGGAAGGTTTGTTCTCAACGAAATAAGCCCGGTGAAAGACATCAAACAACATATTACTGCAATAATTGCCCCGACAAGCTGAGGATGCATCTTGGCGATTGTTTTATAAAATACCATACAAAGCAACAATACAGTCCTTCATATAATATTTAACAAATTTTCTTCTTCCACATGTAAGGATACATAAAATATTAAAATATAATAGTTTTATACATTAATTTGTAGGTGAAATCATTTTAAGTTAGCTGGATGGAATTCACCAAGTATGCGGAAAATTCCCTCGAGTTGCTGGTTCGTCCGGGCAAGAAAGGCCTCGAGTGCAAAGGGTTAAATATCTATAAACAAATTGTTAAACAATTGAAATTTCATGGATGTTAGGACCTTCCTTATAGCCTCCAGAATCACATTGTAAAGTTTGAAACGATTCGTTATAACCAGTTCGGAGAAAAGTTTCATAAACGAGATCTCCTTGAGGCAACTTTCATCACCTTAATCAAGATACAATTTCCCCGAGGGGATTATGCCTTTCATGTTTTATTCTTGTCCCTAGGTTAATAATTATGCACTAATTATGTTATTATTTCCTCAAGGGCGTCGGCGGAGTGGTGCAATATCCTCGCCGGTATTTACAAAGGGTGCAGAAGAGAATTCGTCAAAATGGCGGACTCTTCATAGCGGACGAGGTGCAAACTGGTTTCGGCAGGACCGGCGAGCATTTTTGGGGTTTCAAGGCCCATGAGGTCGAACCGGACATCATCACCATGGCGAAAGGCATTGGAAATGGATTCCCAATGGCCGCAGTCGCGACGAAGGCGAAAATTGCCGAAACTTTGTCGAGAGCGTTACATTTCAACACCTTCGGAGGAAATCCTTTGGCCTGCGCAGCAGGCTGCGCAGTGCTCGACGTAAGTCTGGCCCACATATTTCTATTTGTTATTATGTCGCGCACACGGAAAAATTCATGATCTAGCTTGACAACAACATTTTTTTGTTCAAAACAGCATATTAAGGCGATTTGAAAGGCTGTTTTTACCGACCGAATTTCCTTAAACTTCTAAACCAAGTTTTTTTTTTTACAGTAAAAATTAATCAAAAAGATTAAAAATTTACCACAACTTCCCAAATTCGATTATCTATCTGATGTGCACGCGAGGTCTCGGAGAGAAAATGTAGTTGCCACTGGAATCACAGATGGCGTAAGGTGGCACTGTGCAGTCAATTGGGGCATAAAAAATCAAGAATACAAAGGGATTTCTGAAGTTTTACTTCGATTTCTTTATAATCATTGTACTGTATCGACATATTTAGTACGATACTTTATATAATTCGATACAGTTGTCGATATAAATTCGAACGCCGATAACGTAGGTATTCAGAAGAATTTGTTTTACCGACGTTGATCAAATCTCTCAACATGGTTCACTTCACCTTAAGATGATATGAAAGGCGCTGGGAAATTTAATTGGCATCAAAAAAATAAAATTCTCCTATACCCTTTTTGGTTAGTAATGTCTTTCCGGTTCACATAATACTTACTGTGAGGTTATATGCGCCTTTGATGTGCAGTTTGTTTAAGGTGATATGAAAGAGTCAGCCTACATATATCTGCGAAGTCAAATCGTTGGTAAAATTATTTTCCGAATTGGGTGTACCGATTCGTATCATATTTCATCACGGGAATATAGAGGCTCTATAGTAGGTACTGAAACTCATGAAATTTCATTTTTCTTCAAAATTTTATTTACTTATCATGGACTAGATCCAACATGGCGTAGTCCGTGCCTATTTTTGGCGTTTAACGCTTCTTGGAGGCGTAGGATCGAAAATGAAGAGTTTCGGGACTTAGTTCGAACAATTTAGAATACCTTAGAGATGGAATATCGTAGAGTCAGATGGGAAAATATGGAAAATGCTTTCACCAAGGATTGCAAGACGTTTGTCTTGGGGTTATCGCGTGTTTTTGGAGGAAAAATTGAGTTGCAGCTACACGTCACAGATGGCGACGTTACCCAGGCAACCCACGAAGTGGAATATACGTAAATAAATCGTCTAAATTAGGTCTGTAGGTATAGCAAATGTATATCGTCTATTATCCACCTAAAAAAGTTTCTAAAAGTTACATATAAATATCTATGTCTATTGTAGATGAAAATGATATATCCACTATTGATCTACAAATATCTATTTATTTTTTGACGCGTACAAAATATATAATAGCTCTACTAGACATCTACTAAAGGTTAATCAACATCGTTGAAAATACGTTTAGAAAAATAAAGGCACCTCGTGTAACGTAACGTTTTTTATAAATAAATCGTCTAAATTAGGTCTGTAGGTATAGCAAATGTATATCGTCTATTATCCACCTAAAAAAGTTTCTAAAAGTTACATATAAATATCTATGTCTNACTTTGATTTTTTATTTACTTCCTCTTTGACTGGTGACTATACATCATGATTTTTTACCACTGTGTAAATTATGATGTATTACCAGGCACCGTATGAAGTATTATATACGTACTTATAGTAGACGTACAAATTAATTTATAATATACTTATAGTGGAGGTGCAAATTAGGACATAAGTATAAAAAACTCACATCATCTATGGTATGCATAATAAAAATATCCCGTGAATATATATGTAAATCATTTACAGGCCCATATTTTCAGTACATATATCATAGAAGTCAAGATAACCTATATAGAAACCTGAACTATTCGAAAACGTTAAATTGATTGTTTATATTCAGCTTACACAGACTTATAAAAATGTAGTTTCACCGTAAATAATTGCGTAAATTTAACTGAAATATCTTTAAATCATATTCATAAAATTCATGCACTTTTAGTATATAAAGTTATACGAAGACTATGAATTTACTATTTTAAAAGTGATTCGGTATACATTTATTATTCACTTTTAAATAAAAAGATGATTTTATTATATACCGTTACAATTTTATAAATGACTCTTAATTTTTCAATCACTGACGAGTTTTTTTTTTAAATAAGTTTACAACAAGATGCAATAAGTATCTTTAAGGTGAACTGAAACACGTCGAGGAACTTGTTCGACGTCGGTAAAGAAGATTTTTCTAAATACTTACGTTGCCGACGTTCGTTTTTATATTGACAGCTGGGTCGAATTATATTGCGTATTGTACCAAATGGCATACTCTAGCTGTCGTTTTCGTACAATAAATATCAAGAAATCGAACTAAAACTCCAGAAATCCTGTGGATTCATGCTTTCTGGGGCCCTAATTGACTGCAGAGGGACCCCCTGCGCCATCTGTGATTTCCAGGTCAATTAAATTTTCACTCCGAGACATCGTATTCCTATCGTTTTAGCAAAGAAGCGCATACAACACTTTTTTTGCCTTTATCCAGTTCAAATGCGAGTTTATCGATTACCAGAGTGTTCTAAATTGTCGTAAAATTGTCTTGACCCTTTCGATTCTCATATCAGAGCCTTCGATAATTGTATACTGATCGAAATATGAGAGCTCGACGCCATTTTGGTTCTGGTCTGGGTTGAGTTAAAAATGTTTTTTAAAAATCCAAATTTTGAATGTGTCAAGACAATTCTTAGATCATCAGGAGTGATGTGTCAAAGTTTCGAACAGTTTGATCTAATACCCTTAAAAAAAAGTGTATTCGAATCGACTCATTTGAAGGGTGTTTCACTTCACCTTAAGACGCAAGGATGGAAATATTCAAAATGGCGATTTGCAATTCTAAATGATCGGGAAACTTCCGGTGTGGACTACTCCTCACTTCTCGGGTCTTGACCTTTTGTTTCATCGGCGATTTACATTAATTGTTAGTTTCCACATGATTGTTTATTCATGCTGAATTCAATGTAGGATTGACGCTACTTACACCGAGAGAATAATAGCTGGCTAACTGAACAATTTCTACACCGTTAAAGCCATTTTTGTTACAGGAACGCAATTTATTGTTTAATTTACTGTACATTGGTAGCTGCAACTATCTTTTAATAATTGGGTATATTACTGGCTTTTGTACGAATTTTGTAGCAACGGTAGGAATATTTATTTAAAGGTTTTTAATATTTTAGAATAGTTAGGTTAGCTTTTAAGTATTGCCAACTCTGATTGCAAGATGTTATTATTTCCTCTACCTTAATGTTCAGTATGTAATGTTCATACATAAACATTGAAGACATCTCTTGTAATTAAAGTGGCTCTAGTAGCATAGAATAATTTCTAAATATTTGTTTGTAATTTTTGCTAAATATCGCAAGCGATAGATATTTTAAGATGTCTCGTAGATTTCATTCGAATATATTTAAAATATTTATCGAAAATCTCAATGACATATTTAATTTTAATAATTTAGAAACATGTATCGAAATTGTATTTTTTAATTAATAGCATATAATAGAAATACATTGTTTACTTTACGATTATTATCGGACACTTCATTTGGTATCAAAAAACACGATAAATTTTTGCAATATTTCCGTTCCGCTATTTCATTATTGTAACAAAACGTGATTTTGATTTTAAATATTTTTAAAACGTTTATAATGTATTCGGCAGATAATATTTAAAAAATACTTACATTAAAATGAAACGAAATGTTTTGTACAACTGTTAGGCAAATATTATGAAAACACGTGGAGCTAATATTATACAAATATTATAGAGGTAATATTCTAAAGTTAACGTTTTGCAAATATTTCAAATGTCTGCTAAATATTTACAAAGTGTACGATATTCGTTAAATATATAGAAAATATTGGACAAATAGTTTGTGCTACTAGGGAGGTGGAATAAAAATGTTCCTTACAATAAACAGCCAATAGAGTGCTTCTTTTTCATAAACAACCGAATTCATTCTTACTCAGAAGATTATTTCATTTCTTGTATTTCTCTTATTTTCGCAGATTATCGAGGAAGAAGATCTCCAAAAGAATTCACTAGTAGTGGGAACTTATCTTCTTCACCGCCTCAGTGCCTTGATGATTGATCATCCAACCACAATTGGTGACATCAGAGGTAAAGGGTTGATGATCGGCGTGGAATTAATCAGTGACGTTGAAAAGAAATCACCTTTACCTGCTGAACAAGTAGCCGACATCCTCGAGGACATTAAAAACATGAACGTCCTTGTGGGAAAGGGTGGTTTAAATTTTAACGTAAGTACAATAAAAAATTAAATTAAATTAAACAAGAAAACTTATTTATATTGTACATTTGATGATAAAAATATTATTTTTTCTTAATTTTTGCGGAAAGGGTGGCTTGAATTTTAACGTAAGTACAATAAAAAATTAAATTAAATTAAACAAGAAAAATTATTTATATTCTACATTTACATGATAAACAAATGTTCTGTTTATTTTTGTGGAAAGGGCGGCTGAAATTTTAACATGAGTATAATGAAAAATTGAATGTAATTATACAAAGAAGATTATTAATATTGTACATTTTCACGATAAACTAATTATTTTCTCATAATTTTTCAGGTCTTGAGAATCAAGCCTCCGATGTGCATAACGAAGGAGGATGCCGATTACACCGTTGATGTTTTAAACAAAGCTCTGGAAAGGCATCGCGATAAATATTTAAGGGACAAAGAAAGCGTCTTCTTTAGCGCAGTGTAAAGAAGATTCACAATTAATATTCGTGCTTCAAATAATATTCGGTGCGATTTATCATTTATAAATAAGTATGGGATGTACTTTGTATGTATTATTTAAGAGAGAACGAACGGTTGTTAATTTTTGCTTTTAAACTAATTTTAAGAGAACAGAATGTTAAATAAATTTTAATACAAATGTTTCATAGTACCATTCAAATTTATTAACGCAGTTTAAGAGAAAATGATAACTTGTTAATTCTTGCTTTTAAAATAACAAGATAAGTTCGCCAATTCGGAAATTCAAAAAATTTTGAAACTTGAGGGATATTTAGAGCGTGCCTAGGTGAGTCACAAACAATTTTTCTTTTTCGGCAGGAAATCATTTTTGAGGGGGTGAAATCATCCCTAAAACTTATTCGATTTTCAGTTTTCATTTTATTTCTCGCAAACGATGAGAGATACGGCAAAATGTTTCCAATAAAAGATACTTCTCTTAATAAAGGTTATCACATGGTGAAATAAAGAATGAAACAGTTTATACAATTGCTAAAAGTTATTGCAAAATTGTAATTAACAATTTTTATCAGTTTAGTTTCTTCATGAAATATTCCTGTACGTTGGAAATATAACAACGTAGGCTCGCCACAATTTTTTTGTATTAACGAAATTCACCGTTAATTATGGAACACCTATTCTAAAGGAAAAACGATTATCAGATTTTCTTAAGGTAAAGTGAAACACGTCAAGGAACTTGGTCGACGTCGATAAAGAAGATTTCTTTAAATGCCTACGTTGCCGACGTTCGTTTTTATATCCACAGCTGTGTCGAATTATATTGGGTATTGTACCAAATGGCATACTCCACCTATCGTTTTCGTACAGTAATTCTAAAGAAATCGAAGTAAAACTCCAGAAATCCTCTGGATTCGTGCCTTCTGGGGCCCTAATTGACTGCAGAGGGACCCCCTGCGCCATCTGCGATTTCCAGGCCAATTAAATTTTCACTCCGAGACCTCGTATTCCCATCGTTTTGGCATAGAAGCGTATACAACACTTTTTTTGCCCTTATCCCGTTCAAATGTGAGTTTATCGACTATCAAAGTGTTCTAAATTGTCGTAAAATTGTCCTGACCCTTTCGATTCTCATATCAGAGCCTTCGATAATTGTATACTGATCGAAATATGAGAGCTCGACGCCATTTTGGTTCTGGTCTGGGCTGAATTAAAAAATTTGTTTACAAAATCCAAATTTTGTATGTGTCAGGACAATTCTTAGATGATCACGAGTCATGTGTAAAAGTTTCGAGCAGTTTGTTCCAATAGCCTTAAAAAAAAAGTGATTTATTCAAATCGTTTGATTTGAGGGGGGTTTTCACTTCACCTTAAACTGACTAAATTAGAATGTTTCTAATGTAAGGAAAAATGTTTATCTGACATCAAATCAGATTTTTGTACATTTCATCGACCGAATTGACGATCGTTGCAATTGTCTGGAACTTCATTCGTAACGTCCAAAAGTCGAAAGAAAATTCCGTATCCGAGGAGAGTCGTGTCAGTTTTCGGAATTCAATGTGAAATTTTGAAAATGGCCGGTGTGTCCCCGATTTTGACGCTAATTTTCTGCATAGACAAACTTTTTTGGCTGAGTTGCTTCGCCTTACTTTTCTGGAAGCCAAACCAAATTTGAAAACGCATTGTATTTATAATGCAGATTTTGAAGTCCTTACGTAAGTAAATATATGTAAAAAAACAAGATTTTTTATGCTTGTGTACGATCCGTTAGTACCATTGAATAATTTGTTAATATTTTCGTGGAATCTTTGTTACATATTTCAAGCTATAGATTCTTTAGAACGTCTTGTAGATTTCATTTGAAGATATGTAAATTATTTGTTGAAAATCTCAATGACACATTCAGTTTTAAGAATTTAGAAACATGTATCGGAGTTATATTTTTTCATTCATAAACATATAATAACGATACGTCTTTTACTTTACGATTATTATCGGACACTTTATTTGGTATCGAAAATCACGACAGTTTTTTTCTAATATTTTTGTTTCNACGCCTCCAAACAAATAAATTTGCCTTCGTTTCGGAAATATGGGACAAGTTCATTGAAAATAGTCAAGCTTGCTATCAACCAGGGCAAAATATAATTTGCAAATATTTCAAATGTCTGATAAATACTTACAAAATGTACGATAATTGTTAAATATATAGAAAATATAAGACAAATATTTTCTGCTACTAGGGTAAATGTTTTGGAAATATAATGTACGTATGCAAAAATAAACTCATGGTTTTCTTTTTTACGGTGAAAATACATTTAGAAAACTCATTGATTTTGAGTTGGATTTTCAATGAGTTTGCTCCTAGGTAAGAATAAACGTGTAATTCAACGTAATATTTTTATGTTAATTGAAAGTATAGTGAAGGGTTATGGACATTTTTTTCCCTAGTATCATAGAATAATTTCTAAATATTTATTTGTAATCTTTGCTAAATATCTCAAGCGACAGGTATTTTAAAATGTCTTGTAGGGTTTCATTCGAAGATATCTGAAATATTTGTTGAAAATCTCAATGACATGATTAGTTTCAATAATTTATATGGCTCTCATGAGTAGCATTGTTAATTGAGAGTGGCGGAAGAGTATTAGTGACATCCGTAGAAACTGGCGGGGGATTTTCAGATGCATTTATCTGTGGAGACTCGTTAACCTGTGTCGATACTATTGTGGACTCGTTATCGTTAATTATCTTTTCCGCCCTAGCTAATACTACTGCGAGGGAATCCTTAAGGGCGCTCACCACTCCAGCGATTTTGCAGGGCCTCACGGGGACAACGATTCCGAACGTATTTCTAAACCGATCGGGCTTAACGAGTGCTCATATCGAAGATGAAATGTTGACCTGTGTTTATATGGGAGCGATTTTCGATAAGTGGTCATTATCATATAAAAAAGTGCAACGACATAATTTCAATGCCCTTTTACCTAGGAAGGAGGTGCTCGATCGAAAATCGCTCCCATATAAACACACGTCAACATTTTATCTTTAAAACGAGCACTCGTTGAGCTCAATCGGTTGAGAAATACGCTCAAAATCGTTGTCCCCGTGGAGCACCTTTTTCAGGATTTTCAAGTTTCTCGCGAGGAATTTGGGCATTCCTTGGCAACCGTTGCCGACTCTAGGCGGAGCGTCCAACTTGCGTGTGCGTGCGGCCGAGGGTCACACACGTTTCGGCGCCTAGTCCAGAGGCGTCTAGCCGTTGTGTGAGTTGTATACGTGCAAAATACACACACATTTTTCGCCCGTTGCTAAACACTGCCCATTATGCGTCGCGTCTCCCTCATCCGAGCGAGAAAGTACGTTTTGGTTACCTCCCACCGAATTCGATGCTAATGCCATCTAGCGGTGGAAGTCATTGTCCCCACTTGGTGGTGAACGCCGTTAAAATCGCCTCTTTCCGCATATTCATTGCAACGCGTTTTCCTATAACTAGGGCGTGCTGGGAAACGGGGGGAAAAAGAGCGGGGTCCGCAGATGGATCGTCGCTCCGCGGGTTCGATCGAAGGAAGTTAGCCTAATGTCCACAGGGCCGCTTTTATTTCTATTGGGGCGCCAGGCGCAGGAAGCACTCCGCGGCCTGCGAATTCCGGCGAGGGCAAGGCCGACGCTGCGGAACGGGAGACGGCTCCGATCCACAGGCCACTCAGCCCCGTGAAAGTCCTCGTGACTTCCCGGGGCACTGTGGTGGCGGGGGTTCGAGGTCCACTAGCAACGCGAAAGGTACCGGGAGGACGGACCGTTGAAAAAAAAAAAGGACACGACAGCCAAATTCATAATGAGACGGCACGGTAGTTCTTTATTCGCGCTCTCGCGATCACAATTAGAAAATGCCACAGGACGTCGGACTTCTGGATCCCGCAGGCACGGTACTCTAAAACGGGAACCACGTGGTCCGACGGGATGGGCGGCAACGCCAACCCTCCAGGGCACAACGCCCTCCCGGACTCCACTAGGTCCACGGCCTGCCAATTCCGGCTCCGGGATTGATGAGTCCTACTCAAAAGCCGCGAGATCACACTCACGGAACACACACACCCACATATATCGCACGAGAGCTCACCGTGGCGGCCTTACCAATTTTCTAGTACAGCGGCGCATGCGGCCGGCCGCAATGATGGAGTTAGCGGGAGATACATGCCAAGGAGGCTTTTTTGGAGAACGCTTTAACTTCGGACGAAAGCGGAAAAGGACTCTAAATAAACCCAGCGTGGGTTTGCTCACCCTAAAACCTCAAAAGCGGGCGGACGGCAGCGCTCTTCCCTCGAACGGTAGCGGTAGCGGACTTGGGACTTGAGGGCACGTGTACCGGCTACGCTCGGAGCATCCAGGACAATGACCTCCGCGGGCCGACAGGATCGCCCGAATTCCGGAAAACCCCTTCCCAAATTCTTCCGGCGTCCGCGAGACCGTTTGACACTAGGTGATTAACTAGGCCTACGCGAAATGTCGGGGCAAGTCTCACGGCGCGCCGATTAAAAGCCTACGCTCCGCCGAAGACCGCTAATTACTCGATAGATGAACGCGCCCTCCTTAGAAATCCTCCTCGACGCGGCCTTAGTCCCGGATTCTTAACACTAGATTGCCTAAGGAAGTCATTTTGACTGCTTTTCAATTTCAATTAGAAAAACAATTATGTATATAATGACACAGTTTCTTATAATTTTGTGACTTTTTGTACAACATATAAATGCGTTTATTAATCATAGTAGTTGCCTCCCCCCTCCTTCATTTCCGGTATATATATATGTGTTATACCTGTATTGCCCAAAAGCAGTCATTTTGACTACTTGGAAAATTTGTAGAAAAAAATTTAAAACTGAGTTATTTATGGTCAGCACAGTGGGATCCCGAATTTTTTTAGAAGAACTATGCCCAGAGATAAGTTCAAGCAAATCCTACGATTTATTCGTTTTGATAAAAGAGCCGAATGAAGTAGACGCCTCCAAACAAATAAATTTGCCTTCGTTTCGGAAATATGGGACAAGTTCATTGAAAATAGTCAAGCTTGCTATCAACCAGGGCAAAATATAAAAGTGGACGAGCAATTATTTCCGACAAAAGCCAGGTGCAAGTTTTTACAGTATATGCCTAATAAACCCAACAAATTTTGCATCAAATTCTGGCTTGCATCAGATGTTAGTAGCAAGTACGTTTTGAATGGTTTCCCTTACTTGGGGAAAGATGAACAACGACCATCGTCAATGCTTCTCAGTGAACACGTTGTTCTGAAACTTGTGGAGCCATATACAAGCTGTGAAAGGAATATCACGACCGATAACTTTTTCACTAGCATGTCACTCGCGACGAAATTATTGGCCAAAAAACAACACTAGTTGGAACTATTAGAGGAAATAAAAGAGAACTACCCAAAGCAGCCAAACAAACGAAGGATAACATGCCTCGTTTTTCCACTCTCCTATATAAATCAGAAAATTGTGTCCTTACAATATATAAAAGCAAACGGAATAAAAGAGTAGCTGTTCTAAGTTCCTGGCATAAATTTGTGAAAATTGAAAAAAGTAATAAAAAAATGTTACCGGACTCTATTCGATTTTATAACAAAACAAAATTTGGAGTTGATATGGCGGATCAAATGGCCAGAAAATATACAGTACAATCTAGTTCTCGTAGATGGCCCCTCCAAATATTTTTCAATATTTTAGATTTGCTGCTATAAATGCTTGGATCCTTTACAAAGAAGCGACAGGAATACAAATACAACGAAAACAGTTCTTGTTTCAATTAGCAGAACAGCTTCCCACCGATTACAGAGCTGCAAGTCAGAAAAATTCATCAGAACATGAAGACCCACAAAGATCAACTGCAACATCATCAAATACAACATATTCTAACAAACGAAAAATTTGTCAAGTACGACTTTGCCACAATAACAAAACAAATAATATATGTGAAAAATGTCAAAAGTATGTTTGCGGAAGATGTACACATAAAAAGATTTCCACTTTCATTTGCTTAAAATGAAAAAATAATGCATAAATTATTTTTTTTCCAAGGGAAGTAAATTTTTTTTATTGTTAATACTTACTAATAACTTATTGTATGACTGTAAATAATATAAAAAATATGAAAAATTAATTTTAAACAAACTTCTTTACACATTAGTTATTCTTTCACAATGCAGTCATTTTGACTGCTTTGGGGCAATATAGGTATATACTAAGTTTCAGTCTTTCTAGTGTTAACGATGAAATTAAACAAGTAATACTACCTAAGTCGCCGCTACTTACGATTACTGATTGTTCCTGGAGGCCCCGAGCGTCGCCAACCGATGCTGAAACGAATGAACAAATAATCTCATACTCACCGCTCCCGCTCCGCTTGTGACGACAGAACCCGTCGACCCGATAGTAATACAACCGACCATCGTCGACCCGCCAATTTGGAAATTTAGTTGGCTGGGCTAGGACTTCTTCAACGCGTTTAGCGTACCACGCGTCGACGTCCTCGACTTCAGAAGCAGCGACCGCAATCCTTGGGCTAGGGACACCCTCGGCTGATCGCGATATGGCGTCGGGTACGGTATTCCAACTATCCTTACGATAAATGATTTCATAATCATAGCCCTGTAATGCCAGGGCCCAACGAGCCAATCGGCCGGCAGAGATTTTTTAAATTATCCAACCACCGCAGACTACCATGGTCGGTGACTACTTGAAAGTGCGACCCTTCGATATAGGGCCGAATCTTTTTTTTTGGGAGGAAAAACCTTCAAAAGGTTCCCTGTGCTTCACTCTGAATTTCGCTCTGGAAATTCAGAACCGTTGTTGCTGGTTCTGGTTACGTAACAGCGACTTTACTTATGGCTTGCTTTTAAATCACTTTTACATGAAATCCTTGAAAGAACCAATAAAATACGTATTTTAACAGCAATACCTACTCCCCTAGTAGCACAAAATATTTGTCTTATATTTTCTATGTATTTTATGAACATCGTACATTTTATAAATATTTAGCAGACATTTGAAATATTTGCAAGGCATTTACTTTGGAATAGTATTTTTAGAATATTTACGTAATATTAGCTCCACATGTCTTTGTCATATTTTTCTTATAGATGCACAAAACATTTCGTTTCATTTTATAAATAGTATCTTTTTTAATATCATCTGCCAAATACATTATAAACTGTTTAAAAAAATTTTTTAAACAAAATCACACGTTTGGCTACCATAATGAAACAGTGGAACGAAAGTATTGCAAAAATTTGTCGTGCTTTTTGATACTAAATAAAGTGTCCGATAATAGTCGGAAAGTAAAAATTGTATTTTTATTATATATTTATAAATTAAAAAATTTACTTTTAGTAGATGCTTATAAAATATCTGTTCTAAATCGCTGTCCAATTATGCTGACGCTTTCTTTTGTCATATCGCAGCCTGCAATAATTGTATGTTGTTCGAAATATGAGAGCTCAACGCCATTTTGGTTTTGGTATGAGAGTTTCAGACAGTTCGATCCAGTACCCTTAAAAAGCGTATCTTGTTCGAATCGACTGATTTGAGGGGGATTTCACTTCACCTTCAATGCTTTGTGCTTACTTGTATTTCGAAAAGCAAAGAACGTTCATTAGTTCGTTTACGTCCTTTTCACGCTGATCGTGTCAATAACCACTCAAAAAAATGACGTAATAATCACGCGCGTTCAATGTTTCATCTTATTAGAAATACAAAAAAATACATTTAGTGTCCATTGGACGTTCTTTCAACTAATCGACTTCACCTAAATTAATATAACCAGAGATGAGCGGGGAAATGTTTCGCGCAACTGTTTGAAAGGGAGGCACGGCCCTCTGGCGCCCTCTACGCCCATTACACCTTTGTATAAATTGGAACTACTTTCAAAGGGGGAAATCTTCGTGATCGATAAAACAGGGTATACGTGGGTGCCGCGTTGTAATCTCAATCATCCACGCATAACAACTTTATTTGGTATTCGTAGTCTTCTTTCCCAATCTACGTTGACCCTGATACTAAAAACGAAAAAGCTATAACTTCGTATATCGATACCGTGCTTTACTTCAAATTTGCAATCGCGTTTTTCATTACCAATAGAGAACATTTCGTCCCCTTGGAAACAGTTCCACGGCGCTAGTGAGCCGTGCCTCCCTTTCGACAATGGCGTGAAACATCTATCCGCTCAACTCCAATATAACTGTACACAATTATTGTAGGATCAAAACTGCTCAGTGGGTAAACTGGAAAACCTTTGCCAAAGATGAGTACTACTTTTGCGCCCCAAATTTAAGCACTTCGGAAGGTGTGCAGAATATTCGCACTTCCGAGAGACTGACGAAAAGACGAAGTCTGTTGGACATCTGTAAATGTATCCTTCGAGAGCCCTTCTGGTATTGTTTGTGCACTTGAAATACGTTTTGCTGCAGTCTTCATCTTCGTGTTTGTAGCGACCTTCTCCGGGACAAAGAATCTCAGTTGTTACCGTTACCTGTAACGTATACAATAAAACAAGCTTTAAACAGAACTAATTATTTTCTACTCTAGGGATTTATAGGAATGAAATTGAAATTTTGTTTTAAGATGATGCAAAAGGCAGCAAGAAACTTAATCGTTATCGGTAAAAACAAATTCTAATCGAGATACCATCTAAAACAGCGCACCACGTTACCGACGTTTATATTTCTATAGCTATAGCATGTTATATTGAGTATCCTTTACAACATATATTTTCATTTTCTATTTAAAACAAAATTGAGAGCAGTTATCGTACGCAATACGTTGGTACGACCATTTAGTCTTCTTCTTATAAGTCGATAAATACATTTTTTTGGTCTATGAAAAACACAAATATACTAATGTAATATCAATCAACCCTGCAAGTTTGAAAAGAATTGGCTTACAATTTTCTTAAATAGAAAATCCTAAAAACAGCCCAATTTAAGGTGATATGAAAGAGTCGGTATATATATACTGGAAGGTCCAATCGTTCGTGAAAGTATTCTCTGAATTGGGTGTATCGATTTGTTTCAAATTTTACCACATGAATGTGGAAGTCCTGTAGTAGGTCCCGAAAGACATAGAATTTCTTTTTTTATGTAACAAAATTTTTATTTGCATGGACTATAATCAACATGACGTGGTCCGTGCACGTTTTCGATGTTCTACGCTTCTTGAAGGTTTAGAATCTAAAATGAATTTTAGGACCCTGCTCAAACAATTTATGATATCATGGAAATGGAATATTACAAAGTCAGATGAGGATATATGGAAAATACTTTTACCAATGATTATCCCGTGGGTAACACATGTTTTTAGGGCAAAAATTTAGTTGCAGCTAAACGTCACAGATGGCGCCCGTTGGTTCATAACAGTACCAATAATTATGAATTCACGAGATTTCCACAGTTTTACGTCGAACTCTTCATCATCACGTTACCGAAATGACATATGGAACGTTTGATTTCGTATAATTCTCAACGTAGAGTGTAACTGCCTTAAACATAAATATAAATGTCGGTAACGTGACATGACAGCTTATGTTGCCATTTGAGTATTTAAAATGGCGTTACCACCAAAAATGGTATTGATCAATTTTAGTTTATAACCATAGATTAAATTTCTCAACGCCTTTCATATCACCTTAATGTGAAGTGAAACACGTCGAAAAATTTGATCGACGTAGGTAAAAAATAGTCTTCTAAATACCTACTTTGCCGACATTCGTATTTATATGAACAGCCGTGTCGAATTATATTGGGTATTGCACTGACTGGTATACTCCACCTGTCGTTTTCGTATAATAATTATAAACAAATCGACGTAAAACTCAGAAATCCCCTGGATTCATGGTTTCCGAGGCCCTAATTGACTGCAGAGAGACACTGTCCGCCATCTGTGATTTTCGTGTCAACTAAATTTTCACTCCGTGACCTCACATATCATCGTTTTAGCATAGAAGCACATAAGACACTTTTTTTGCCTTTATCCCGTTCAAATGCGAGTTTCTCGATTATCAGAGTATTGTCAGTTGTCATACAATTGTCCTGACACTTTCGTTTCTCATATTAGAGCCTTTAATAATTGGATATTGATCGAAATGTGCGAGCTTGACGCCACTTTGGTTCTGCTCTGGGCTAATTTAAAATAACTTTTTTTTTCAAAAATCCGAATGTTTAAAGTGTCGGGAGAATACCTAAGTGCTCACGAGTCATGTGTCAAAGTTTCAGAAAGTTCTATACAATACCTTTAAAAAAAAGTCTCTTATTCGAATTGACTGATTTGAGGGGGGTTTCACTTCACCTTAATACCAAGACCCAAAGATAAGTGTAAATAAAAAACTAGAAAAGAAATGTCCGACTTCCTGGAGCGGGCCCCTTTCATAGTATGCGATTTTATACACATTACCAATAGAAGTATCACTTAAAAAACTTACTTGCGCTAGAAAGTCGGCAGGGACTTTTCTGTAAAACCTCGCTCCAGGTTTCTTGCCCTCGCACTTCTGACTTGCCTCATTCTCCGGAAGACATTGCACCTTCTGCTCGTCATAAATCGTGTCCCCGGGACAACTCAACACAACGACTTTGATATCCGTCGGACTCGGAGAAGTACATTGGTAGAATAGGTTGCAATGTTTCGGATGTCGCCGGAAACCCGTAGGACATACCAATAACATCTGTTCCTGTGTTAAATTCGACGTAGGACAGGGATCAGTGGCCTGGGGCTCCATTGTGGATGGAACTTGAGGCGTTGTTGATGGAACTTGATCCGTTGTTTCGAAAGACGCTTCTGTGGTCGTTCCTTCTTTGCTTGTTGTAGTTCCTACTGCCTCTTCAGTATTCGCTACCGATTCCGTTGTCTCATCGGTGCTTGTTGTTGTTTCTGTAATTGATTCCCCATATGATGTCGTTGCTTCAGTTGTTTCTGTTGCTCCTTCTACAACAGTCGTTGTCTGTATCATTTCGCCTTCGCTTGTCGTCGACTGGATGATCTCTTCGTATTCTATCGTTGTTCCTTCAGTTTCTTGTGGATGCCTTGTTGTGCTGTCTTTCATATTTGTCGTCGTCACCGTCGTTTGTTCCATCTGGCTATCTTTCTCCGTGCTCGCTGTCTCGGTTTCTGCCCCGTTTGTTGTTGCTTCAGTATTTTCATCTCCATTTGTTGTTGTTTCGATATTTGTGTCTCCGCCTATTGTAGGTGTTACACTTTCCCCTTCTCCTAGTGTTGTTGTGTCGATATTTTCTGCATCAGTGATTGGTTCGTCACCTTCATCCCCGGTTGTCGTTGTTTCTACGATATCTTCTCTACTTGTTGTCCCAGAACTGTCAGTTCCAGGTTCGTTGTCTCCAGCAGTTGCAGCAGTAGACTCATTCATTTCGGAACACTCTCTTTCCGGATACACCGATTCGGGATAGTTGCAAACATCGATACTGGGATCGAAGATAGTTCCTGGAGGACAATTGAAGTGGTAAACGTTGAATCCTTTTCCGTTATCAACGCAGCGGTAGAACTTATCACACCGTGTTGGATGTGGATAAAAACCCGGACGATTGCAAATGATTCCTTTCTTCGGTTTTGTTGTCACGCATTCTTTAGCCCCTTCAGACGATGATGAGCTTTCGGAGCTGGACACATCGTAACTGGGACTGGGATCTAGACTGCCAGACGAAGATGAACTTTCAGAGCTACCATCGTCAGAACTTGATGATGAACTTTCGGAGCTACCATCGTCAGAACTTGTTGACGACGATGAACTTTCGGAGCTACCATTGTCAGAACTCGCTGATGATGATGAAATATCTGACTCTGTAACTTCAGACATCTCTTCGTTCTCTGAGGTATTCACGTTTTCCAAGGATGTAGGCGAACTTATCATGGTATCGTTTAACGTTGAGGATGAATTATCGGCAATCGTTGTTGGTGAATCATCGGCTACTGTTGTTGGAGATGAATCTTCAGCAACTGTTGAAGACGGTGTTCCTTCCTGTGGAATGTTCACTTCGCTGTCATTATTTCCTTGTTTGCAAGAGGACACTTGTTTGATATAATCGCAGGTCTGTAAATTCTGGTCCCAAGCGGTTCCGGGACCACAACTAAACTCGACTTTTCGAAATCCTGAATTCTCCTTCACGCAGCGATAAAATTTTCGACAGTCTTCCGGGTTTGGATGAAATCCTTCCGAAGTGCATCCGACTGTTTCAGATTGTTGCAGATTCGTTTCCGACTGAGAATTGTCAGCTTTGGACAAAAGTCCCGGATTTTCTAGGTATAAAGATTTTCCTTCTGGAGGTAAATACGTTGCCGAAAATGGGTATCCTGAAATGTTTAACGTTTTCTGAAACGTTGTTGAGTCATTCAGTTTGGAATCATTTGCAGTTTGCATTGAAAGCGTTGATTCACGAAACGTTGATGGCGGTTGTGTTGTTGCTGGTTTCTTAAGATTTATTACGTGAGTAGGTGGCAGATATGTAAACGAACTTATTGGCGATTCATTCACCACGTTTCCTGAAGAGTTACTAATGGATGTATTTCCTTTTACGATATTTCCAGGAGTTGATGAACCTTCGTGTGCCACCGAATATGGTGGAAGATATGTTGCTGGCTTATTTGATGTGTTTGTAGGCAAAATGGTGGGAGCTGAATATAATTTTTTGATGTCTTCGGGAGTAGTTAAACCTGATAGCGTTGTTGAGCCCGGAGGAAGATATTTTCCTGAATTGAGTATCGGTTCATTTGATGCTTTTGTTGGCTCACTGGATGGAGAGTATAATTTCGTAACATTCGTAGGAACAATTGAATTTGTTTCACTCATTGAATCTGGAGGAAGATATTTTCCTGAAATCGAAGCTGATTTATTCGGCATTTCTGTGGGTAAATTCCTGGGAGAAAGCTGAAATTTTGTAACACTTCCAGGAGTCATCAAATCCTGTTGCGTCGATAAATACGTTGTTGCTTCGCTGGTTATCTTCGTAATCGAGTTACTAGGAGGAACATAAAGCTTTATAACACTTCCAGGAGCTTTCCAATCTGCCGCAGTTCTTGAAGAAGGAGGGAGATAAGTCTCTGAGCCCATTGCTGATGCAATTGACTCTTTCGCGGGATAAGTGCTAAAAGATGTTGCAAGTTTCTCCGCATCAGCTCCATAAATTTCTTTCTCAGAGTCCTTCAAGTCTTCGGAAACATCACCGACTCCCATTTTATCTGAATTCACATCCAAATTATCCCTGCCATTTCTAGTCTCTTCCACATTGTTGTCCTCGTTACCATTGTAATCACTTGCGTTCCAGAAATCCGGATTGTACCATTTATCTGCTGGGTTTTTTACAAAATCCAGAACTCCGTCATCATCCCAATGTTTATCATAATCTTCAGCGTCTTCTTCACTTTTCTCAGGATTATTGTTGACATTCTCTTCAACATTGTTAGTCAAGTCATCAACGAATCCATCTTTCATGCAGTAATCCCGCGGCACAGCCCAGGGATGGTTACATCCTTCGATTTCTGGGTCCCAGACAGTTCCTGGGCCGCAAGAAAATCTCAATAATCTCAAACCGCCAACAATATTGCTGGTTACACATCTGTAGAATTTTCGACAGTCCTTTTCGTCCCGGAGAAAACCTTCTTTAGAGCATTTAGCCGGAGTTTCGTGGTCGTCATCACCATCCCTAACGGCGGTTCTTAGTTCTTGGTTTTTAACATTGTCCGGAAACTCTTGCTGGTCGTATTGTTGGATAGAGATTTCCTCGACATCCGGAACAGAGACTTGGCCGTTTCTCTGAGGAAATTGCTGGAAAAGATCCTCGTTTTGTCTCGTCTTATGGTCGATTTCGCTTTCAGCGTTACTGCACTTTGGATTTTCAACCTCAAAGGGACTAACGCAGATAGATCTGGCTTTTGAAAAGACTCTTCCAGATACGCATTCAAACTGGAATTTCATGAATGGACCTCCATTATTCCAATTTATGCACTTGTAGTAAGTTCTGCAGGAGTTAGGGTCCGGATGATATCCTTCCTGGATGCATTCGAATGAACTCGAAATCTCGGAAAGATCACTCTCGGATCCTGAAATGGTTATTCCACTGTTAACGTACAAATTTAAGGTGATATGAACGGGTCATTCTATACAGGGTGTTCCATAATAATAATATTTCTACATTCAGTTATTAAATAATTTGACATATTAAAATGACATTTCTTTCGAGGATCGTCAGGCATGGTGTTAGTGTTTTTGTTACGTTCCGCTCCACGATCCGGGTCGAAGGACCAGAAAATGATGTTGCGGATGTTCGAAGAAAAGTCTTAACGCGGGTTGCACTGGATGTGAGAGCCAAATTTGAAGACTAGTTAATTCTCGACGAAATCTCGAGTCAGGTCGGTTTTATGAGTTCGGGCACATGACTTGAATTCGTAACAGAAACAGTTTATTAACAATAACGAGTAAGTCCGATAACAATTGTAAAATATAACACTATGAACGGCGGCGGTCGCACGGTACAAGTTCGCGGGTGACTATTTGGAGTCGCGGTGAGACTTGATTGTCTCTAAGAGCAGGAGATGTACGTCGCTCGCGGTGGAAGATTTGCTTCTCTAGATGCCCAGAGGAACTTTGGTCCAGAGCGCTTTCGGATGCTGTCCTCTAGGGCGGAGTGTTTTACAAAGCGTTTACTGATAGGCGTAGAGAAATTAAAGTGGGATCGATAATCGAAAGTGATTGGTTCATGAGGACTGAGAAGGGGAAAAGTTAATGTTGTTTAAGAAGGCTTAGGTGGGGAATAACAAAAATGGGCTATAGGACTAGAAGTAAACGAATCATGGGCTAAAGGACCGCGGTAGTAGATAAGAGAGCGAAGCGCTAGAGTTTCTGTTTAGACATCCACTTAAATTATGAGCATAATACGTGACTGAATCAATGGTGCTATATGACATGAGAGACACGAGAAAGAATAAACAGAACTTGAAATACGGAAGAAGTAGAACGCCCAGATCGTTGCAGAGAGCATTCCAAATAATTCTAGCGTTATATTTATTAAATTATGGATTAGTCCGTATTTGCAACAAATGATTGAAATTTACGTATTGGCTTGAAAACCACACGTGACATGATAATTGATATCTGAGATAAAGAAATTCGTTCTCGATTGAGCCCTTGTTCATTCGGCTCGAACACGTGGGCAAAGGGCCCTACGGCGCGCTGCGCCCCGGCGGACTTCGGCCGCACATCGCCTTGTTGGTCGACATTAATTATTAATAACTCGATGAAAAATGTTTTGAGCAAAAAATGGAAAGGGAACTTCTATTCTTAATTTCACCCCTTGAAAGATTTACTATCCATTATGGGGCACTCTGTATATATGAAACGTAAAAATATTTATAAAGCTTCTCTCCAAACTGCCCTAATAGCACAGAATAATTTCCAAAAATTTGTTAATAACCTTTGCTGAATATCTCAAGCGACAGATTTTTTAAGAAGTCTCGTAGATTTCATTCGAAGATATCTAAAATATTCGTCGAAAATCTCAATGACATTTAGTTGGAAGAATTTATAAACATAACAAAATCGTATTTTTCAATTTATAAATATGTAATAAAAATATATTCTTTACTTTCCGATTATTATCGAACACTATCATCGAACACTATGGTAACAAAACGTGTGATTTTGTTTTTAAATACCTTTAAAACATTGATAATTTATTCGGCGGATAATATTTAAACAATACTTACATTGAAATGAAACGAAATGTTTTGTACATTTACAAGAAAGATATGACGAAAACGCATGGAGCTATTATACAAATGTTACATAAATAAAATTCTAAAAAAGATGTTTTTCAAATATTTAAAATATCTGCTAAATATTTACAAAATGTACGATATTCGTTAAATATATAGATAATGTAAGGTAAATAATTTGTGCTACTAGGGTGGGTGCACCGAATCATTTGAAATTTCAGCACGTGATTATGAAGGCCCTAAGGAAGAACGTGGTGCTCATGAAATTTCATTTTTAAAAAGAATATGTATTCAGCGTTCCAGTCTGGAACAAGTAAACAATTTTTTATTAAAAATGAAATTTCATGAGTACTACGTTCTTCCTTAGAGCCTCCGAAATCACACGCTGAATTTTCGAATGATTCGCTACACCCAGTTTGGAGAAAAGTTTCATAAATATTTTTACGTTTCATATACATATAATCACCCTTTCATATCACCTTACGTTCTCATAAACAAATACACTGAGAAAACATATCTTTACCCGAGCTCGAAAATAGCTCGGTGAAGTAATAATTAAAAATTACCAAGTAATAGTTAAAAGCAATCAAATGACTGTTGCTATTTGATGCCAAGTTCGAACGATTAAGGTTATGTGAAAGTAGCGTCGAAGAGGTTTTGTTTATAAAACTTTTCTCCCAACTCAATTTACCGGATAGTCTGAAACTTTACAACGTGAATAGGGAGACTATAAGGAAGGTCCTGAAACTCATGAAATTTCAATTCTTTTCAAATTTGTTTATAGGTATTTTAAAAATTGTTTATAATAAATGAAATTTCACGAGTTTCAGGACCTACCTTAGAGTCTCCATATTCACGTTTTAAAGTATGAAACGATTTGAGACACCCAGTTCGTAGAAAAGTTTTATGAACGATTGAGCTTTCGGATGCCACTTTCACATCCCCTTAAAATGAAAAGGTTAAGGTGAAGTGAAACACGTCGAGGAACTCGATCAACGTCGATAAAGAAGATTTTTCTAAATGCCTACGTTGCCGACGTTCGTTTTTATATTGACAGCTGTGTCGAATTACATTGAATATTGTACCAAATAGCATACTCCACCTGTCGTTTTCGTACAATAAACATCAAGAAATCGAAGTAAAACTCCAGAAATCCTCTGGATTCAAGCTTTCTGGGGCCCCAATTGACTGCAGAGGGACACCCTGCGCCATCTGTGATTTCCAGGTCAATTAAATTTTCACTCCGAGACCCCGTATTCCCATCGTTTTAGCATAGAAGCACATACAACACTTTTTTGCCCTTATCCTGTTCAAATGCGAGTTTATCGATTACCAGAGTGTTCTAAATTGTCGTAAAATTATCCTAACCTTTTCGATTCTCATATCGGAGCCTTCGATAATTGTATATTGATCGAAATATGAGAGCTCGACGCCATTTTGGTTCTGGTCTGGACTGAGTTAAAAAATTTTGTTGAAAAATCCAAATTTTGAATGTGTCAGAACAATTCTTAGATGATCAGGAGTGACGTGTCAAAGTTTCGGATAGTTTGGTCTAATACCCTTAAAAAAAAGTGTTGCATTCGAATCGACTGATTTGAAGGGTGTTTCACTTCACCTTAAGAATAACACATTAATGGGTTGTCGCAACCGAGTTTAATATTGCAAAATTGAACCGAGTAGTTTTTTGGCAAAAAAAAATGGAGTTCCTCGGTTAAACGCAACTGACTAATGTCGTTAAAATTTTCTAGGTTAACTGTCAATGTTTTAAACGATTGATTTTAACTAAGTGAAGTTGACAACTTTTAATCATATGCTTTGAACATTTTCTAGATTAACTGTCAACGTTTTAAATAATTGATTTTAACTAATTGTAAGTGAAGTTAACGACTTTTCACCATGCGCTTTTGAACTTGTACACTGAGAAAAAAATTGCGTTAAATTAAATATTTCTTTTGAATTGCAGTAGGCGATCTTATAAAATTAATGAATAAGAAATTGATTAACAAAAATGTGGATTCAAAATGTTTACACTGTGACAATATATTTTAGAATGCTAAATTCACTTGGTTAAAAGAAATAATAATTGCACCTCAAGAATTATACATAAAACTTCATAAAGTGTCAAATGGTTTTATACTTTTTATTTAAAAAAAAGTAATAAGTTGCTTACCAGTTTCTGCAGCGATGACAAAAGTCAAGGTCGTCAAAAGGCTCACTAACCATACAGTTTTTTTCACGAATTCCAATTGATGCATCTGTAAAAAATGAACAATTTTAAATTTACCTCGTCTGCGGATCCGATTAAATGAATTTTTAAAGTCCACTGAGAGAATAAGAGCTGTCAACTGAACAATTTCGCATTGTTAAAGCCATTTTTGTGAAAGGAACGCAATTTATCATTTGATCTACTGCAACTATTTTTTAATAGTTGAGCATCCTGCTGGCTTTTGTACGAAGATTATAGTGACGGTAATAACATTTATACAATAATATAGATTTTTACCATTTTGGAATAGTTTGGTTACCTTTTAAATATTGTCAACTCTCTTTGCAAAATGTTGCTATTTCCTCTACTTTTAGTAGATGAAACGATATTACTGGTATAAGCGTTTACCATTGCAGTTTAGTTAAATCAAGTTTTAATTTGTACCGAACGTTACTAAAAACTTTGTTCAAGTTAGTTTCGAAAGTCCCGATAGATGGCAAAGCTTTCTAGCAAATGATGCAGATCGCTCGTTTGCATATAAGACTCTACGCCATCCCTAACTGACGCTGAGACCAGGGGGGTGATATTGTAATCGGAGAAATTAGATGGTGTTTGCAACGCTATCTGACCTAGTAGACGGAAGTGAAGAACTAATTTTGCGCTTGCGCGTTACTCATTAACCAATGACATCTATATTATTTCTTCAGAACCCTTGTGGCGGGCCCGGGACGAAGTCCGGCCAACGACCACCAGGGGCGTAGCGCGCGACAAGCGCGATGCGTTCAGGACGGGGCAAACTGCGTTACCCCGCGTGCACATTACTGTACTTACCTCGAACCAAAAGACGACTACGTCGTAAAATGTTTTAAAAACGGTTGAAAATTGGGGATAAGACTTGGTGATCAATTCTAAAGCGTACGTGGAAACCCGCTCCTTTTTCTGTGATAATAAAGCAATAACTATAAATAAAGTGGTAAAATATATTTGACAATCCCCACACCCTGTAGTATCCTGGCGACATCTATGATTTTCATTTTGTACCTTCTAGTCAATTTACCATCTTTTGTTTATTTCAAATGTTTAAATCATTATAGTTTGAAATAACCTATAATAGCGTTAATAGCTGCTATAATAATAACGTGTAATGAACTTTAACAATAAACAATTACTGTAAAAAGTGTATCTATTATTTATATTCTAAAGAAACTCAGTATATTGTCAGTGCGTTCTTTGTTACAATAAAATAAATATTAGTTCACATTTCGTTCNTATTATTAATGACCAACAGAACTATTCAAAACAGTTGATAATACTACCTGGGCATGTAAAATATACGATAATATATCAGGTACGTTACCAATAATAAAGTGAAATATTAACATATACATTGTAAACAGTTTTATTATTCTTCCTAGGAAAGAATAGTAAATGTAAAATAGTTTATTTTGCTCCTTCCAAAAGGTAAAAAATATAGTAACCGTTCCTAGATTTCTTATATAATCATCGCATCTGTTGCGAAACAATTTCAGTCTCATAAACTATTTTTTAAATTTATTCATAAATAATTGCATGTTATGAAAACCAACGACATTTTGATGAATTAGCACGGTCACACGATTTATGTACAATGAATTGGTCACGATATAAGCCATTAAATATAGTCGGGGTATATCCATAAACCACATACATCCATTGTTTTCAAACGATGTATAAATGTTTATTGACAAAAAGCAAAAAACACGTATTTCCTCATTTTTCGTGAGCAATCACATGGCGTAAGTGGAACTTAAATAGGAGTGCTTGTTTAATAGATATTACAAAAAATTTGAAGGGGTCACCCTCTTGAGGTGGTGTGGCATTACTGAACAATATCGTGTTTTCACCGTCCTTATACAGAATACGTTTATGTCAAGTTTCGTCGATATCCCTCCACTGTTTCTACGAAAATTAATATAAAAATCGAATTTTCGTCAAACTTTGGGGTGTTATTTCACCCCTTAAATGTGGACCATTGCAGATTTAAAAAAACACGCGCCTCTTAGATTTTTGTGTTCTTCAACATATATGAAAATCAATAAGATCGGCGGCGGACACTTGGGAATGTTTCTTTGTTAGTTCAGAGAAAAAGAGTTAATTATATAAGAGTATCCTAGTCCTTTTTGAACTATGAAAATTATTTATGAAATAGTTAATTTAATTAGACTTTCCTCAGTGTAGTTACTTAGTTTCTCTTATCCGCGCGTAAATTATGGTAGCTAAGTATTAGGTTGAAGAATAAGTTCCCGCTGTTTAAATACGAATACAAATATAAAAGAAATACATAGAAGCAGTTTTGTAGGAAATTGAATTTCCTATAAAAAAAGATTCTATGTTGTTCACTCGTATCTTACATATTTCTTCGAAAAAATTGACGTGATCGTTGTGTCAATAAACATTTTCAACTAAATCCATTATATTTATAAAAAACTATGCGAGATACGTAAAAAATGCGTATTATCTTTCTTGTAAGGAATCGCATTTTCTATCGAAAATGTTTATGAAATTTTATTCTATTTCGCACAGTATTCGAGATATTAAAAAAAATTTGAATATCTATAATTAAAGAAAATAATTAATATCTGCCAAAGTAATTGAGATATCAACCTTTCCTTTGAGATGATGTTTGTTCATATCATATCAACCATAATCAACTGTCAAACCTTGATGCCACGGAAACCAATACCGGAATAGTGACGGAGAAAAATGGCATTATTATCGTCTCCAAATATGGCTTTCCCTTTCTTCTTATCATTTCCTTGTAATAATTCCTCGCCATCTCGGGCGATGAATCGAAGAACATTTCTCCTCAAAATTAGTTTCTTAACCTCGCAAACGGCGGGCAAAGCTATGATTATCCATAAACCGAGGTCGGCCGACCTTCCATTCTTTCTTAGTCGCGAAAAAAGGCACAATCGTATGACAAAGTGATCCTTTCTTAGAAAGCAATAATCACGCTCGAGCATCCATACAGAGAAAATTGCCGACAATATGATTACACGATTTTTTCTACAATTTCTCCGTCAAAAGGATCATAACACCTGTTCTGCACGTGCACAAAGATTTGTGCATTTCAATTTCGCGACATTTTTGTGATTCATAAAAATGCCCACACTGAGAGAAAAATCTAGTCACATTAACTATTATTTATCTAGTTTTCATAGTTCAGAAAGGACTCGGGTACTTTTTACAGTAAAATTAACTTTTTTTATGAACTAGGAAATCTAGTCTTTTCTGAACTAGGAACTCTAGTTACTATATTATTGTACCTTTTGGGAGTACAGTGATTAAAGTCGATGGAAATTTATATACATTTTTACAAAACTCATAAATGAAGGATTACGTAGAAAAAAGTAAAATGGGAAATAACAAATTAAAAAATGTATAAATACACATAACATCGTATGTTTACGGTATCAGTGCATTTTTACTTGAATTAGATGCAATATTACATTATAATTTTCATTCACCAAAAACGTAAAATGGAAAATAACAAATTAGAAAATGTATAAATACACATAACATCGTATGTTTACGGTATCAGTGCATTTTTACTTGAATTAGATGCAACATTACATTATAATTTTCATTAACTTAACTTAGATACCGAATATGATATTACAAATGAAATTTTACTGCAGTTTATTGTGGCATCAAAATAACCAATGATTTAGTGTGTAAATTAACATGGGCATTTTTATTAGTATAGCAAAATGAACTATTTAACGTTCACTATACTTTCCTAGGAAGAATAATGAAACTTTTTGCTATTTATATAATAACAATTCACTTTATTATTGTTAACGTAGCTGACCCTAGTAGCATAGAATAATTACTAAATATTTTTTTGTAATCTTTGCTAAATATTTCAAGCGACAGATTTTTTAAGATGTCTTGTAAATTTGATTCGAAGATATCTGAAATATTTGTTGAGAATCTCAATGACATATTGAGTTCTAATAATTTATAACCATGTATAGAAATTATATTTTTTACTTTGGGATTATTATCGGACACTTCATTTGGTATCGAAAAACACGACAAATTTTTGTAGTATTTTCGTTCCGCTATCTCATTATGGGAGCAAAACATGTAATTTTGATTTTAAATATTTTTAAAACGTTTATAATGTATTCGGTAGATAATATTTAAAAAATACTTATATTAAAATGAAACGACATGTTTTGTATATATGTTAAAAAAATATTATGAAAACACATGGAGCTAATATTATATACATATTATAGAGATAATATTCTAAAGTAAACGTTTTGCAATTATTTCAAATGATTGTTAAATATTTACAAAATGTACGATATTCGTTTAAAATATAGGACAAATATTTTGCGCTACTAGGGTGATCGTATATCGTCTAGGGCGATCGAATATCATCGTATATATTATATGCCCAGATAGTATAATTAACTGTTGTGAATAGTTTGATTGATCGTTAAATCTTTTTCCAAAAATATTTTTTGAAATTGTCGTTTATTAATATTAATATGCTGACGTGATGGCATTCTCTCATGTCTTGGCGTCTGTTTGAGATGGAGTAGTATCTTATATGAGCCCATAATTATGAAAGTGGTCTAAGTCCAAATTAAAAAAAAATGAGTTTATCAGGTATTTCACCCCACATTATCTTAAGCTAAATTAATTCAATGTCATTTTTACGATATTGTCAAAAATGAACCATTAGAGAGTGGTTGTAATTTGAACATTATATGGAATTCATTTAGTGTTAATTATGAAAGTGGTCTACGTAAAAAATTTCAAGAAATTATATAAACATAACCTTAAAATGGCACGTGACCCTCTTTGGCGCGTTTTTGAACTACACGATAAGCCGACAAATGACAATCAAACGGTAACAGAAACGACAATACTTTCCGGTCTACCTAACAATACATGGAATTCATTTAGTTCTATTATGAAAGTGCATTAATTCAGTTGGGCACTTTCGAACTAATTATTGGCGGAAAAATAATTTATATATTTTACCACTATGTCCGCGGATAGCGGTTCAGGTAAGTTAATGACAACGTACATATTATGTGAATATGTTAATTACTATTCGGATATGATGTGATTTGCAGATATTATACGACCACGTAATACTTCTTTAGATGATTCTAAATTCCACGTTTTGAATCTTTCGCCTAAAAGAGGAAGACCAATAATATACGGAAATATTAAATTACTTCCATTATACCCCACCACTAGACCAGTAACGGAAGAAAAACAAAGATATTATGTTTACATCTCTCCAGTTTTTCAGGAACATTTGAAAAAACCTTAAAAACTCATAATGATGAAAGCCTAAAATGATAAAAATGGATTTCTTTTGAAAAATAATTAATAAATGTTCATGAATTATTTCATTAAAATTATCGTTTCTAATAAAACTCGTAGTTTTTTATTGCTTTAAGTCATTTATAGGACATTTAGTTAATTTTGAAAATGGTCTAAGTCAATTCACACTCTAAAAACAACCTTTTCCTATGAAATTCACCCAAAATTTCATATTCATAATAAATTTCCATTAAGCAAGACTAATAAAACTCAATATTAAAATGTTGCATAATATAAAAATATTTTTTAATTTATTCAAATGCAATTCATTAAATATCTCGAAACAAGAAATATATGACTTAGACCACTTTCATAATTATGGGCACATATGCAAACGAGCGATCCAAATCATTTGCGAGAAATCGTCGCCAAAAATCGGTGCCGTCGAAACTAACTTGAACAAAGTTTGTAGTAACGTTCGATACAAATTGGAAGATGATTTAAACAAACCACCATGATAAACGGTTGTAGCAGTAAAATTGTTGCAGTCCCTAAAAGTAAAGTGAATAACATCTTGCAACGAGGGTTGACAATATTTAAAAGGTAACCTTATTATTAAAAAGTGGTAAAAAATTCGACTATAAATATTGTTATTGTTGGTAGGAAATTCGTACAAACGCCAGTAAGATGCTC